GGAGCATACACATTGATAAAAACTGCAGTAAAAAGGTCGAACCGTGCTTTAATTAAAAGCAACCTGACTTAAAATGACTTCCCCCTCCCACTCTCTCCTCCAGTCTGCCTCATTGGTGCTATCACTATGTGTCTCCTGTAAATAAAAAACATCAATATGTTTCATTTTGGCCGTTTCATATATAGCTGCTCTTTTTTTTGACTCTCTGGCTCCATTTATATTCAAACTTCCCACTCTAAAATTATCCATAAGTGAGAAATTAAGAACAAAAATAAAAATCAATAAATTAATTAAAACACACATTGGAGCTCTTCCCGTCATCATTGTTCAGTTGTTTTCTAACTTTAGACACAAGTTTTTTTAATCTAAAAAACTCCTTGTTAGTGATGCCAGACTCCTCCTTTTGGCTCATGTGGAGTCTGGCCGAGGTGTAAAACAAACTTAAAACTGGGAAATGCTCTTCAATTTTAACACCTTTAGCATTTTTGGTTTTTGCTAAAAACGACTTAATCATTTCTGCAGAGTAAAGTTCTTTCTGTTGACTGTTACTTATTTTACATCCAGATATATCACTGCTATCAGAGACACAGTCATCACTTTCACTTTCCTCTGTCTGTCCCTGTCCCCTTGCTGTCTGTCTGTCCTCCTCCTCCTCCACTTTGCTAGTCTTTGCCTCATACTTTGTGCCTCTAGTTTTCCTTCTGCGTTTAGACGCAGATTTGACCCTCACTGCCTCCTCTTCCTCCTCCACCATCTCAGCCTCTTCCACCTGTTCCCCCTGACACACCCTCCTGCACTTCACTGCCCCCACTTGCTTTATTTATCTGCACTTCACTCACACTTTTTCCAGCTGTTTCTTCCCCCTTTTCTTCCCCCACCTCACTTTCCACCACATCACCCAAAACCTCTCCTTCACTTCCCTGATTGTTTTCACCCACACCGTGCACATCATTCATACTCACCACCCCGTGCTCCAGGTCAGACACAGCAGCGGCGAGGCGCGGCGCGCTCCGCGGTGCCGCTATCGGCCGCCCAGATGCCGCGGGGCGCAGCGGATGAAGTCTCCGCCGCGGCCTCAGGCCGCGGGGCAGGGGCCTCCCGCCGCTCCGCTGCAACCGGCGGAGCAGCGGAAAGCCCCGCCACAGGGCCGAGCGTCACCCCACGGCCAGGCGGAGCCGGATCCCCTTGTCTCGGACAGGCCTTCACGGTGTGTCCCTCCTCACCACAACCAAAACATTTCATAGCCGACGAGGTGGCAAATATCACGTAGTCATAATCATCTACTTTAACATGGAAGCGGAGGTTGAGGTCCGCATCCTGATTGTTAAGTATCATAAACAGTTGCCTACGGTGAGACACCACGTGTTTCAGCAGCTGAGATCTACATCCAGACAGAATCTTTTTTTATGGGGGACACCACCTTCCCATGTCTGGAGAGCTCTCTGCTAAGAAACTCGTCGGTTATGAACGGAGGGACATTGGACAGGATGACTCTGGTGGAAGGCTGTGTCAGTGGAGCCACCTGTACAAACATTTCGTTCACCGTGATGCCCGTCTCAACGACTCGGTTCACCTTCTCCACCTGATCCAGGAAGATGACCACGGCGCTGTTCATCCGAGCGGCCGAAGGTGACTCCATTTACCATGACGTCTGAAGACGCCGACCGGCGAGACACCGGCAGGAGAGAAAAAGAAAAACACAAACACAAACACACACTAACTATTAACTTAAAGTGAACCTACACCCAATAAACTACATTAAATTAAATCAAATTGCCAAAGAAAAAAACCATCAAACACATTCGCTCAGCGTCTCACTCCGCACCACTCACTCCCAGCATGCACCAGAGAGAGAGAGAGAGAGAGAGAGAGAGAGAGAGAGCATCACTGCACCATCATCCGCACTAATTAGATCTGTATATAACTGTACATACACACATACCAAAGAGCTGCAAATACATCTTCTTTCTTTAAAAAAATGTATCTTAATATTTTATATATCTGTTAGTTATCTGTAAATATTTTAAGAGCTAAGTTACATTTTTATGTGTATTTTTTAAAGATAAACACAAACAGTTTTTAAGTTTAGCCACTTTATATAAAGCTGTAAATCTGCAGAGCTCTGTCACTTTAATATTTAATCTTTGTGTTTTATTTTGACTTTAGCTTTGGTAATGTAAACACGTTTCTCATGCTAATAAAGACCTTTGAAATTGAAATTGAAATTGAGATAGAGATAGATAGATAGATAGATAGATACTGTAGATAGACAGATATATCCACTCACCTTTGACTTATTCCAGCAGCTTTTCACATGAAATACAGCACATCATCTGTAAACTGGGGCTGGGGGGGGGGGGGGAGGAGGTGACACTTAAATGTTTGCAACATTGTGTTCTGGGGCGGAGCTGTGATCTTAAAGTTCCCCAAAAAACATATTTTGTCATGTTAGTTGTGAATAATTGTTTCTGCTTTCTGTGGTCCTGGATTCAAACTTTTTTTAATTCTGTCACGCTGTGACCCGGAGTGCACTGAGGAGAAGTGGCTCCACTTGTTATAAAAGTCACCCATCTCTATCTGACATTAACAATTCTGATTTCTTTCAATAAAAGAAGATAGGATATGCTGCCCCCTTGTGGTCTTTGTATGTTTTCTACAATGGATAGATAGAGATAGATAGATAGATAGATAGATACTGTAGATAGACAGATATATCCACTCACCTTTGACTTATTCCAGCAGCTTTTCACATGAAATACAGCACATCATCTGTAAACTGGGGCTGGGGGGAGGGGGGGAGGAGGTGACACTTAAATGTTTGCAACATTGTGTTCTGGGGCGGAGCTGTGATCTTAAAGTTCTCCAAAAAACATATTTTGTCATGTTAGTTGTGAATAATTGTTTCTGCTTTCTGTGGTCCTGGATTCAAACTTTGTTTTATTCTGTCACGCTGTGACCCGGAGTGCACTGAGGAGAAGTGGCTCCACTTGTTATAAAAGTCACCCATCTCTATCTGACATTAACAATTCTGATTTCTTTCAATAAAAGAAGATAGGATATGCTGCCCCCTTGTGGTCTTTGTATGTTTTCTACAATGGATAGATAGAGATAGATAGATAGATAGATAGATACTGTAGATAGACAGATATATCCACTCACCTTTGACTTATTCCAGCAGCTTTCACATGAAATACAGCACATCATCTGTAAACTGGGCTGGGGGGAGGGGGGGAGGAGTGACACTTAAATGTTTGCAACATTGTGTCTGGGCGGAGCTGTGATCTTAAAGTTCTCCAAAAAACATATTTTGTCATGTTAGTTGTGAATAATTGTTTCTGCTTTCTGTGGTCCTGGATTCAAAATTTTTTTTATTCTGTCACGCTGTGACCCGGAGTGCACTGAGGAGAAGTGGCTCCACTTGTTACAAAAGTCACCCATCTCTATCTGACATTAACAATTCTGATTTCTTTCAATAAAAGAAGATTGGATATGCTGCCCCCTTGTGGTCTTTGTATGTTTTCTACAATGGATAGACAGAGATAGAGATAGATAGATAAATAGATACTTTATTGATTTTGAGTGAAATTCAAACAATGTAGAGTGGGTTGAGGTGGTGACTGCTTCCTGGTAGTTTTACAGATTAAACTCAGGCGTAGGAAGTAAGGGGGACTGAGGGTGCTGCCCTTAAAGTCAGGCACAATTATAACCATCAGCTTAAAATAATTTTAACTTATGTTAACCACTTTAATGGGATGTGTAGATGTGCACGGATGCCTAAAAAGAAATGAGGCTACCTTGACCCAGACAAAAACTTGTTGACAAGCTTTTTTTCAGTCCGCTCCAAATTCTGATCGAATGCAGAAGCCAAATGTTTCCCAGAAGGCTTTCGTGCTAACGAGCCAACACATGTATTAAAGAGGACATATTATCCCCCTCCTCCACCTTTTCAAACAGTCCCCCTGTGGTCTAAATGAAACATCTGTGCTGTGCTTTGGTCAAAATATAACATGAATCAAGCACCAGAGGAGGTTTGTGACCCTGTATAAACCAGCTCTCTCAGAACGCTCCGTTTTGGTGTGTGTGTCTCTTTAAATGCAATGAGCCCCTCCTGAGTTTTCCCGGTAGACATCACTCCTCTGTAGTGAGAATAAAAATGGCGGACCTGCGAAAAAGTTTTGTTCTAGACTGGGAGTGGAGTCCATGGGTGAAGATACCAGGGGAGGGAGGTTTTTTTATTTATTTTTTACCAGAATCCCACTGTGACATCACAAGGAGAGCAAATTTGAAACGGAACATTTTTCTCTGTGTTGTAAGACTTATGCAGACCTCAAACAAAGGACTGGATGGGTTTATTTTCACATTTTGTGGGTCGGTAGACTCTCAGAGAATACGCTTTCACTCTGTGGGCCTGACTAAATGTCTCTATAGACTTTTGAGTTTTACTGTATTACTCTTTTAAAACATTTACAACAACTTCAGGAGAGAGAGAGAGAGAGAGAGAGAGAGAGAGAGAGAGAGAGAGAGAGAGAGAGTCTGCATTGACGAGGGAGAGCGAGGGAGCGTGCCAGCACATACTGAAGTAAAGCGACAACGAACAAAACCTTAATTTGATCATCTGTTTTATGGTTTCATGATGTGTCAGGTTATGAAAATGTTCCTAAATGAGGCAGACTTTAAACTGAACAAACGACCTTAGACTACGACTCTATAAAAACCCCACTTTATCTGAAATCATTTTTATCTCTGTTTGTTCTTCTGCTCACAGATTATTTTTAGATATTTTCTGAGAAATAACTTTTTCCCCCCCCAAAGCTGTGTGCGTTTCTCCTGTAACATTCACGCAGCAACAAATAAGTATGAAACTATTCAAACAATTTAATCATGACAACCACTTGGACTTTTCTCATAACTGACTAAATGGTACAAGTCCATTTTGCATAATATGTGACCTAAAGATACACACAATTTGAGATTACAAAATAAGAAGAATGAAGAATACATTTAACCTGAAATTATTTCATTTTAATTCATTTTATCCAAAACAAGGGTTTCACTGTAGAACACAACATAATGTTCATTATAGTAACATATACATTTTTTTAAAACATTCTTTAACAACATCACACTGATATTCACAGTCTCCCCCCCTATCCCGAGCCCGGTGCAAAGCGATATCTTTTAATGCCTTTAATAAGAGATAGGACAGTGGATAGAGTCAGAAATCAGGGAGAGAGAGAGATTCTAACCCGGGCCACTTTAAATATTTTAAGAATATTTTACTGATTTTAATCCACCAACATTGCTCAGCTGATAAAAATAGTTCATCATAGCGATGTTCCCGACTGATATGTTGAAAAAGCTGAGTGAGACTTCAGCTGAAGTACTTCAGGTGCACTTCATTTCTCCTGTTTCTGCTGGTTTCTCACAAATATATCTATGAGGGATTTCACAATATTTATCGAACCAGCTCTTGTGTTCTACAGCTCCTCCTTTCTCCCCCATCCTCACACAGTCCTCCCCATCAGCGTTATCTCCGTCCCAGTTGTCCGGCTCGCCGTTGCTCCAGAAAACCAAACTATGAGATAAAGAACATAAAAAAGTAGTTACAACTGATAACTTTGGTTAGTTGATGCAGATAAAGAAATCTGATTGGTGGTGACTTTTCACAACATGTATCACTCCGCCTCAGCCAGGAGTTCTGAATACTTTTATTTACATTAGATTATAGGCCTACTTTATTGATCCCCAGTGGGGAAATTCGGGCGTTGCAGCAGCAAGACAGAGAATAATTAACAGCTGACAAAGTTTTTATTTATCATCTCAAACCTCAGAATCACACAACACACTCTTATTTCTCTGGTTATATGATAAAAACATTCATTTCTTTTAACCTGAAAGTAAATAATCATGCCAATAAGTAGCTTCTCTGTGGTTACCATGGACACAAACAGAGGGCAGTAGAATGTTTGGGTTGCTTGGCAACAGTCTAGTTTCAGTTAAATTGTGGAACAAGTTGAGTTGGTGGAGTTACAACAAAATCTGTTGGTGATTTTAATTTTTAACTTCTTCTTTCAGCTTCTATAACCGTTTTATAAAAGTAACATCACACTCGAGGTCGAGATGTTGTTCTGAATCTCAACACTGCTGTGATTATCGTGTGCCTACGACCGATTCACATCACTCCCTCTGGTGTGATGTCGCTTAATTAACAGGAAATATGTTATGTGTAATTTGTTTTTTGATAAGTCCAAAGTTCTTCATTCTTCAACATTTTCAATTCAAAAATTTGCAATTAGCATAAAAATCAAGGATGAAAATTAACATTTTAGTGAAACCACTGACCAAAAGTTCATTATTTACTGATTGTCACTGCAGGTGCTACACATAGCCTAAGTAACACCAGTGACAAGAAAAATGCATTTTACAAGATGGCTGCTAAGTGCACCAAACCAAATCTTCTCAAATATTATATAGCCTAGGTTACTCATAAAATAATGATATTTAATCCATTTGTAATCTTATTTTGGACAATTCCCAGACCAAAAAGGAGGTCACACCAGTGACGTCATCTAAAAGCTTCATGTGAAATCATGAGAAAATTGAGAAAATTAAAGCGACAGAGGACTTAACCCTGGGCATTTCTTCATAGATCTGAAGGAAAGAGGTACAGGGTGATGTCATCACTTTAATTTAATATCCAAATAAAGGACTTTTTAAAACACAGTGACATGACTCCAAGGGACCAGTAATTTCATTATATATTTTATAATATCTACTTGAAATGTTGTTGTTTTATGTCATTAACATCTACTAGTCATGTAAACATAATTGTACATAATACTGCCCCTGTCCTCTTTACATGACTGTGGGGACAGGTACTGATTTGGTGCTTGGGATCTATAAAACTGGTTAAATAACAAATATTGACAAATGGATAGCTCAGGAAGGGGTAGCTGTACAAATAACTTGTTGTTTTTTGTAGAAGTATAAAAAAAAATGGTCACTTCAAGTTTTTTTTCAAGTGAAATATTTTGGTAAAGGGTTGAGACAGAACAATGTACGTTTGACCCTAAAATCAGTCAAACCTTGAGTTCAGTGGAGATCCGTCCGCCCACAACCAAGTGTCCTCTTCCTTTGAGTCGGTCAGTCCGATCCAGAATCTGTCCTCAGCATACACCATTACGTCTCTCAGTCTCATGTCCAGGAATGTCTGAGGAATAAAATAAATACAACAAACAAAGATTATGAGAGACTCTTTAGAAAGTGATTAAACAAAGAGAACTGGTCCAGTGAGCTCCATGATCCTGCAGCAGTGTGTTTACCTGCTCCTCTGTGCTGTCTATCTTCACCAGGTCTCCTCCTCCGTGTTGTCTGCATTCATCTCTGCTCTCATTCCATGTTGATTTTTTGGTGGAGAAGAAATAACACTTCTCTCCATGCTGCTCCCAGCCGTCTTTACATTTCCAACATGATCCACCTTTAAAGAGATCAAAGACTTCAGTTAACTGTTGTTGTTCGTTAGATAAGACGCAGCAGGACATGGTTTGAAGTATTTAACGGGTGCAGCACACGATCAACCTCGTGTGTAATCTGTCAGTTTGTGAACTCATCATGAGAGGATGCAAATCTGTGTGAGAGGTTAAAGGTGAAATACACTCACTTCCTGGGCATGTTGGCTGTGGCTGTGGGATGCACGGTTTAACTTCAACTTTTTTTTCTGTGAAAGAAAAAGATTTTAACATTAATTAATCGTTCTTTAAGATCTCTTGTTCTCTCATTTGAGGACCTGAACAGAGACAATAAAACGACCTACAGGGAACCCCGTGCACAGCCAACCCAACGTTCTCAGGTGCCGGTCGGTTGCAGGAACATACAGTGAATAAAATAAATAAACCGTGGCACACTGAAAATTACTTTACTGTCTCTTAATCGTTCAGCCTGAACGTCCTCAGGTTCGCCCACAAGTGACCATAAAACGTTTTGACAGTTTAAGTGGAATCATGGCTGAAGTGAAGCCTTATGCGGCTTTATATATAACAAACAACAGATCAGGGCGAGTGATTTTAGTCTGGTGCAACATTTCTAATGATGTTTGTAATGTGGAGGCAGCAGAACATTTCAGTTTAATTTAAATACTTTTTTGACATTAAACTGAAAGACTTTGACAGTGACATGCGACGCTGATTAGAGTAGATTTTCTAACTTTTACACCAAATCTTTCAGATAGTTTAAAAACCTGACTGACTTACCGGTATTTCTTTTGACAGCATCAAAGTCGTCTCTCAGTGTCTGGAAACGTTCATTCGTTCGCACCAAAGCAAGAGCTGGTGTAAAAAAGAACATGAGTCATCATACATCAGGCAGTGTTTCATCGTTCGTTTGTAGAAATAAATCCTCCAGGAAACAACAGAGACATGGTATTAAATCTGATAAATGGAGATCACTAAGGAGGGAGAACAGCTCAGCTTTCATCCGTTTCTGTGATTGCTGTCTATCCTCGATAAACCTGTAAGAAGTGGCGTTGGTCAGCATTTAAAGGCAGGGTTGGTAATTTTCTAAAACTAGCATGATTTTGAAAGTAGCATTCCCTCAGTGCTCCGTCTGCACCCACTTCCCTCTGTGCTCCCTCAAAAGCCACGCCCCCCTCACTTACAAGCTCCAAAAGTGCACCTCAGCTCATCTCTTACATTGTGTAGAAACTACATCCTGTCACGTCTCATTCAGCGGTGAGTAAACTCACAGTATGAACTCCGTCATCAAGGACAATCTTTGAGTGTGGGCTAGTGAACACAAGAGGTAGAGAACGAGCAGGGAGACAGGGAGGCGTGTGATTGGTTCATCAGATTGGTACCTCGTGGCAGACATTGGTTGAAGTTTTTACAGGCTTACAAACTGCTACAGATGTCAGATTTTCTTTGTTACTTTTTCAGAGAACATTATTAATTTCTGTCAGGACCTAAAATGACAAACCCTGCCGTTAAATCAACCAGAAAAACAAGAAGAAAGAAGGAGAACCAGAAAACAGGAAAACCAAAGTGGTTAAGAAACTCTTACACACTGAGTTTGTCGGCTTCTCTCAGAAATTGCCGCACCACAAGAGAAATATGACCTCATGTTTTCTCAATCATGTTTGTGATCTTTTCCAGGAACTTGTCTTAACTTTAAGGGTTAAATTCTGAGAAAACATCCCAATTCTTTAATCAAGCTTTGTGTTGTTTTTCCAGCTGAAGATGTAAATGAGAAACTTACAAAGCTGGCAAATAACAACGACAGTAGCTGCCAGGAGAGCACTGAGGACCAGCAGGGCCACTTTCTCTGAGGGGACCTTTGACCCTCTGGAGGACACTGGGTGCTGTTGGGTGTCAGTCACTTCACCTGTTAAACAGAGGATGGACATAATAAACCTAAACAGCCATACAGGTCACATATAAAGATTTGATGTGGTACTTTGGCTGCAGCCATCTTGTTTTTTGGAAGCCAGAAATGATCATATTTGGATGAGTAGATGTGGCATGAGAGGAGCAAAGGCTTAGGAAATATGAAACAATTTCACAAATGTGCTGCCCCTGATATCTTCCTGAGTTGGTTGTTCACACATATAGCAGCTCAAAGCAGGAGGTTATCCCTGTCCCTGATGTTCAGTTAAAGAGGCAGGACATGATGTGAAAAGAATGACACAGAAGTAGCAGAGGATTATTATTTCTGGTTTGGCAGCAGAGGGCTGCCGAACAGTTACCAGGAAGCTTGAAACGTCCGCAGTAACATCATTCTTCTTCATGGTCACTTCTCTTTTTTCTTCCTCTTCTTCTTCACTTCTCTTCAGTCCTACTTCCTCCTGATCTAAAGAGTTTTTTGTCTCGTGTGTATGGTGAGATTAACCCAAAGTGATGCCTTTACAAAATAATTCTGCTTTAACTCAGCCAACAGTTTGATCTTTGTTATGATAGAAATTAAAAAGTACAGATAGCAGATCATCAAACTTATAAAACCTGTATTTTGTTCATAAAAAATGAGTCAAACATTGATCAAAATATTGGCTTTGTGTCGACCAACTGTAAGTAGATCAACTCGTTGAGTTTATATTCAGCAGTGGATGGTTTCATGAATAAAAAAAAACATGTTTTATTAGAGTTACTTTTATTTTTTGTTCAAGAATTAGGTTTAAACTAACTCCTTCTTTCAGATAAATGTTGTGAAATAAAAAATAGAATCCAGCTAACGAGATGTAGCTGGGGAGAAGTTCAACGGAACATGAAGAGAAAACACTCGAGTGAAATGTTCGACATATTGACTGAACATAAAAGTTTTTAAATAAATATCTTCAGTTACATCAGACTTCCTTCTTACCGTCATTGTGACGCTGTGGACGGCTCATTGTAAAAGTTGAGTCTTTAGTTTAGAGTTCAAAGGAGAAACCTTCTCTGCAACAGAAGACACAAAACTCAAATGTTTAGCTTAGGCAGTGATGGTGAAGGAGAGAGAGAGAGAGAGAGCATCACTGCACCATCATCCGCACTAATTAGATCTGTATATAACTGTACATACACACAGACCAAAGAGCTGCAAATACATCTTCTTTCTTTAAAAAAATGTATCTTAATATTTTATATATCTGTTAGTTATCTGTAAATATTTTAAGAGCTAAGTTACATTTTTATGTGTATTTTTTAAAGATAAACACAAACAGTTTTTAAGTTTAGCCACTTTATATAAAGCTGTAAATCTGCAGAGCTCTGTCACTTTAATATTTAATCTTTGTGTTTTATTTTGACTTTAGCTTTGGTAATGTAAACACGTTTCTCATGCTAATAAAGACCTTTGAAATTGAAATTGAAATTGAGATAGAGATAGATAGATAGATAGATAGATACTGTAGATAGACAGATATATCCACTCACCTTTGACTTATTCCAGCAGCTTTTCACATGAAATACAGCACATCATCTGTAAACTGGGGCTGGGGGAGGGGGGGGGGGGGGGGGGGGGGGAGGAGGTGACACTTAAATGTTTGCAACTTTGTGTTCTGGGCGCGAGCTGTGATCTTAAAGTTCCCAAAAACATATTTTGTCATGTTAGTTGTGAATAATTGTTTCTGCTTTCTGTGGTCCTGGATTCAAACTTTTTTTATTCTGTCACGCTGTGACCCGGAGTGCACTGAGGAGAAGTGGCTCCACTTGTTATAAAAGTCACCCATCTCTATCTGACATTAACAATTCTGATTTCTTTTAATAAAAGAAGATTGGATATGCTGCCCCCTTGTGGTCTTTGTATGTTTTCTACAATGGATAGCTAGAGATAGATAGATAGATATAGATAGATACTTTATTGATTTCAAGTAAAATTCAAACAATGTAGAGTGGGTTGAGGTGGTGACGGCTTCCTGGTAGTTTTACAGATTAAACTCAGGCGTAGGAAGTAAGGGGGACTGAGGGTGCTGCCCTTAAAGTCAGGCACAATTATAACCATCAGGTTAAAATAATTTTAACTTATGTTAACCACTTTAATGGGATGTGTAGATGTGCACGGATGCCTAAAAAGAAATGAGGCTACCTTGACCCAGACAAAAACTTGTTGACAAGCTTTTTTTCAGTCCGCTCCAAATTCTGATCGAATGCAGAAGCCAAATGTTTCCCAGAAGGCTTTCGTGCTAACGAGCCAACACATGTATTAAAGAGGACATATTATCCCCCTCCTCCACCTTTTCAAACAGTCCCCCTGTGGTCTAAATGAAACATCTGTGCTGTGCTTTGGTCAAAATATAACATGAATCAAGCACCAGAGGAGGTTTGTGACCCTATATAAACCAGCTCTCTCAGAACGCTCCGTTTTGGTGTGTGTGTCTCTTTAAATGCAATGAGCCCCTCCTGAGTTTTCCCGGTAGACATCACTCCTCTGTAGTGAGAATAAAAATGGCGGACCTGCGCAAAAGTTTTGTTCTAGACTGGGAGTGGAGTCCATGGGTGAAGATACCAGGGGAGGGAAGTAGACTCTCAGAGAGTACGCTTTCACTCTGTGGGCGGGCCTGACTAAATGTCTCTATAGACTTTTGAGTTTTACTGTATTACTCTTTTAAAAATGTACAACAACTTCAGCGAGAGAGAGAGAGTCTGCATTGACGAGGGAGAGCGAGGGAGCGTGCCAGCACATACTGAAGTAAAGCGACAACGAACAAAACCTTAATTTGATCATCTGTTTTATGGTTTCATGATGTGTCAGGTTATGAAAATGTTCCTAAATGAGGCAGACTTTAAACTGAACAAACGACCTTAGGGTCGACTCTATAAAAACCCCACTTTATCTGAAATCATTTTTATCTCTGTTTGTTCTTCTGCTCACAGATTATTTTTAGATATTTTCTGAGAAATAACTTTTTTCCCCCCCAAAGCTGTGTGCGTTTCTCCTGTAACATTCACGCAGCAACAAATAAGTATGAAACTATTCAAACAATTGAATCATGACAACCACTTGGACTTTTCTCATAACTGACTAAATGGTACAAGTCCATTTTGCATATGTGACCTTTAAAGACACACACAATTTGAGATTACAAAATAAGAAGAATGAAGAATACATTTAACCTGAAATTATTTCATTTTAATTCATTTTTTCCAAAACAAGGGTTTCACTGTAGAACACAACATAATGTTCATTATAGTAACATATACATTTTTTTAAAACATTCTTTAACAACATCACACTGATATTCACAGTCTCCCCCCCTATCCCGAGCCTGGTGCAAAGCGATATCTTTTAATGCCTTTAATAAGAGATAGGACAGTGGATAGAGTCAGAAATCAGGGAGAGAGAGAGATTCTAACCCGGGCCACTTTAAATATTTTAAGAATATTTTACTGATTTTAATCCACCAACATTGCTCAGCTGATAAAAATAGTTCATCATAGCGATGTTCCCGACTGATATGTTGAAAAAGCTGAGTGAGACTTCAGCTGAAGTACTTCAGGTGCACTTCATTTCTCCTGTTTCTGCTGGTTTCTCACAAATATATCTATGAGGGATTTCACAATATTGATCGAACCAGCTCTTGTGTTCTACAGCTCCTCCTTTCTCCCCCATCCTCACACAGTCCTCCCCATCAGCGTTATTTCCGTTCCAGTTGTCCGGCTCGTTGCCGCTCCAGAAAACCAAACTATGAAATAAAGAACATAAAAAAGTAGTTACAACTGATAACTTTTGGTTAGTTGATGCAGATAAAGAAATCTGATTGGTGGTGACTTTTCACAACATGTATCACTCCGCCTCAGCCAGGAGTTCTGAATACTTTTATTTACATTAGATTATAGACCTACTTTATTGATCCCCAGTGGGGAAATTCGGGCGTTGCAGCAGCAAGACAGAGAATAATTAACAGCTGACAAAGTTTTTATTTATCATCTCAAACCTCAGAATCACACAACACACTCTTATTTCTCTGGTTATATGATAAAAACATTCATTTCTTTTAACCTGAAAGTAAATAATCATGCCAATAAGTAGCTTCTCTGTGGTTACCATGGACACAAACAGAGGGCAGTAGAATGTTTGGGTTGCTTGGCAACAGTCTAGTTTCAGTTAAATTGTGGAACAAGTTGAGTTGGTGGAGTTACAACAAAATCTGTTGGTGATTTTAATTTTTAACTTCTTCTTTCAGCTTCTATAACTGTTTTATAAAAGTAACATCACACTCGAGGTCGAGATGTTGTCCTGGGATCTCAACACTGCTGTGATTATCGTGTGCCTACGACCGATTCACATCACTCCCTCTGGTGTGATGTCGCTTAATTAACAGGAAATATGTTATGTGTAATTTGTTTTTTGATAAGTCCAAAGTTCTTCATTCTTCAACATTTTCAATTCAAAAATTTGCAATTAGCATAAAAATCAAGGATGAAAATTAACATTTTAGTGAAACCACTGACCAGAAGTTCATTATTTACTGATTGTCACTGCAGGTGCTACACATAGCCTAAGTAACACCAGTGACAAGAAAAATGCATTTTACAAGATGGCTGCTAAGTGCACCAAACCAAATCTTCTCAAATATTATATAGCCTATGTTACTCATAAAATAATGATATTTAATCCATTTGTAATCTTATTTTGGACAATTCCCAGACCAAAAAGGAGGTCACACCAGTGACGTCATCTAAAAGCTTCATGTGAAATCATGAGAAAATTGAGAAAATTAAAGCGACAGAGGACTTAACCCTGGGCATTTCTTCATAGATCTGAAGGAAAGAGGTACAGGGTGATGTCATCACTTTAATTTAATATCCAAATAAAGGACTTTTTAAAACACAGTGACATGACTCCAAGGGACCAGTAATTTCATTATATATTTTATAATATCTACTTGAAATGTTGTTGTTTTATGTCATTAACATCTACTAGTCATGTAAACATAATTGTACATAATACTGCCCCTGTCCTCTTTACATGACTGTGGGGACAGGTACTGATTTGGTGCTTGGGATCTATAAAACTGGTTAAATAACAAATATTGACAAATGAATAGCTCAGGAAGGGGTAGTTGTACAAATAACTTGTTGTTTTTTGTAGAAGTATAAAAAAAATGGTCACTTCAAGTTTTTTTTCAAGTGAAATATTTTGGTAAAGGGTTGAGACAGAACAATGTACGTTTGACCCTAAAATCAGTCAAACCTTGAGTTCAGTGGAGATCCGTCCGCCCACAACCAAGTGTCCTCTTCCTTTGAGTCGGTCAGTCCGATCCAGAATCTGTCCTCAGCATACGCCATTACGTCTCTCAGTCTCATGTCCAGGAATGTCTGAGGAATAAAATAAATACAACAAACAAAGATTATGAGAGAGACTCTTTAGAAAGTGATTAAACAAAGAGAACTGGTCCAGTGAGCTCCATGATCCTGCAGCAGTGTGTTTACCTGCTCCTCTGTGCTGTCTATCTTCACCAGGTCTCCTCCTCCGTGTTGTCTGCATTCATCTCTGCTCTCATTCCATGTTGATTTAGTGATGGAGAAGGCATAACACTTCTCTCCATGCTGCTCCCAGCCGTCTTTACATTTCCAACATGATCCACCTTTAAAGAGATCAAAGACTTCAGTTAACTGTTGTTGTTCGTTAGATAAGACGCAGCAGGACATGGTTTGAAGTATTTAACGGGTGCAGCACACGATCGACCTCGTGTGTAATCTGTCAGTTTGTGAACTCATCATGAGAGGATGCAAATCTGTGTGAGAGGTTAAAGGTGAAATACACTCACTTCCTGGGCATGTTGGCTGTGGCTGTGGGATGCACGGTTTAACTTCAACTTTTTTTTCTGTGAAAGAAAAAGATTTTAACATTAATTAATCGTTCTTTAAGATCTCTTGTTCTCTCATTTGAGGACCTGAACAGAGACAATAAAACGACCTACAGGGAACCCCGTGCACAGCCAACCCAACGTTCTCAGGTGCCGGTCGGTTGCAGGAACATACAGTGAATAAAATAAATAAACCGTGGCACACTGAAAATTACTTTACTGTCTCTTTATCGTTCAGCCTGAACGTCCTCAGGTTCGCCCACAAGTGACCATAAAACGTTTTGACAGTTTAAGTGGAATCATGGCTGAAGTGAAGCCTTATGCGGCTTTATATATAACAAACAACAGATCAGGGCGAGTGATTTTAGTCTGGTGCAACATTTCTAATGATGTTTGTAATGTGGAGGCAGCAGAACATTTCAGTTTAATTTAAATACTTTTTTGACATTAAACTGAAAGACTTTGACAGTGACATGCGACGCTGATTAGAGTAGATTTTCTAACTTTTACACCAAATCTTTCAGATAGTTTAAAAACCTGACTGACTTACCGGTATTTCTTTTGACAGCATCAAAGTCGTCTCTCAGTGTCTGGAAACGTTCATTCGTTCGCACCAAAGCAAGAGCTGGTGTAAAAAAGAACATGAGTCATCATACATCAGGCAGTGTTTCATCGTTCGTTTGTAGAAATAAATCCTCCAGGAAACAACAGAGACATGGTATTAAATCTGATAAATGGAGATCACTAAGGAGGGAGAACAGCTCAGCTTTCATCCGTTTCTGTGATTGCTGTCTATCCTCGATAAACCTGTAAGAAGTGGCGTTGGTCAGCATTTAAAGGCAGGGTTGGTAATTTTCTAAAACTAGCATGATTTTGAAAGTAGCATTCCCTCAGTGCTCCGTCTGCACCCACTTCCCTCTGTGCTCCCTCAAAAGCCACGCCCCCCTCACTTACAAGCTCCAAAAGTGCACCTCAGCTCATCTCTTACATTGTGTAGAAACTACATCCTGTCACGTCTCATTCAGCGGTGAGTAAACTCACAGTATGAACTCCGTCATCAAGGACAATCTTTGAGTGTGGGCTAGTGAACACAAGAGGTAGAGAACGAGCAGGGAGACAGGGAGGCGTGTGATTGGTTCATCAGATTGGTACCTCGTGGCAGACATTGGTTGAAGTTTTTACAGGCTTACAAACTGCTACAGATGTCAGATTTTCTTTGTTACTTTTTCAGAGAACATGAGTTATTAATTTCTGTCAGGACCTAAAATGACAAACCCTGCCGTTAAATCAACCAGAAAAACAAGAAGAAAGAAGGAGAACCAGAAAACAGGAAAACCAAAGTGGTTAAGAAACTCTTACACACTGAGTTTGTCGGCTTCTCTCAGAAATTGCCGCACCACAAGAGAAATATGACCTCATGTTTTCTCAATCATGTTTGTGATCTTTTCCAGGAACTTGTCTTAACTTTAAGGGTTAAATTCTGAGAAAACATCCCAATTCTTTAATCAAGCTTTGTGTTGTTTTTCCAGCTGAAGATGTAAATGAGAAACTTACAAAGCTGGCAAATAACAACGACAGTAGCTGCCAGGAGAGCACTGAGGACCAGCAGGGCCACTTTCTCTGAGGGGACCTTTGACCCTCTGGAGGACACTGGGTGCTGTTGGGTGTCAGTCACTTCACCTGTTAAACAGAGGATGGACATAATAAACCTAAACAGCCATACAGGTCACATATAAAGATTTGATGTGGTACTTTGGCTGCAGCCATCTTGTTTTTTGGAAGCCAGAAATGATCATATTTGGATGAGTAGATGTGGCATGAGAGGAGCAAAGGCTTAGCAAATATGAAACTTGTTTTCACAAATGTGCTGCCCCTGATATCTTCCTGAGTTGGTTGTTCACACATATAGCAGCTCAAAGCAGGAGGTTATCCCTGTCCCTGATGTTCAGTTAAAGAGGCAGGACATGATGTGAAAAGAATGACACAGAAGTAGCAGAGGATTATTATTTCTGGTTTGGCAGCAGAGGGCTGCCGAACAGTTACCAGGAAGCTTGAAACGTCCGCAGTAACATCATTCTTCTTCATGGTCACTTCTCTTTTTTCTTCCTCTTCTTCTTCACTTCTCTTCAGTCCTACTTCCTCCTGATCTAAAGAGTTTTTTGTCTCGTGTGTATGGTGAGATTAACCCAAAGTGATGCCTTTACAAAATAATTCTGCTTTAACTCAGCCAACAGTTTGATCTTTGTTATGATAGAAATTAAAAAGTACAGATAGCAGATCATCAAACTTATAAAACCTGTATTTTGTTCATAAAAAATGAGTCAAACATTGATCAAAATATTGGCTTTGTGTCGACCAACTGTAAGTAGATCAACTCGTTGAGTTTATATTCAGCAGTGGATGGTTTCATGAATAAAAAAAAACATGTTTTATTAGAGTTACTTTTATTTTTTGTTCAAGAATTAGGTTTAAACTAACTCCTTCTTTCAGATAAATGTTGTGAAATAAAAAATAGAATCCAGCTAACGAGATGTAGCTGGGGAGAAGTTCAACGGAACATGAAGAGAAAACACTCGAGTGAAATGTTCGACATATTGACTGAACATAAAAGTTTTTAAATAAATATCTTAAGTTACATTAGGCTTCCTTCTTACCGTCATTGTGACGCTGTGGACGGCTCATTGTAAAAGTTGAGTCTTTAGTTCAGAGTTCAAAGGAGAAACCTTCTCTGCAACAGAAGACACAAAACTCAAATGTTTAGCTTAGGCAGTGATGGTGAAGGAGAGAGAGAGAGAGAGAGCATCACTGCACCATCATCCGCACTAATTAGATCTGTATATAACTGTACATACACACAGACCAAAGAGCTGCAAATACATCTTCTTTCTTTAAAAAAATGTATCTTAATATTTTATATATCTGTTAGTTATCTGTAAATATTTTAAGAGCTAAGTTACATTTTTATGTGTATTTTTTAAAGATAAACACAAACAGTTTTTAAGTTTAGCCACTTTATATAAAGCTGTAAATCTGCAGAGCTCTGTCACTTTAATATTTAATCTTTGTGTTTTATTTTGACTTTAGCTTTGGTAATGTAAACACGTTTCTCATGCTAATAAAGACCTTTAAAATTGAAATTGAAATTGAGATAGAGATAGATAGATAGATAGATAGATACTGTAGATAGACAGATATATCCACTCACCTTTGACTTATTCCAGCAGCTTTTCACATGAAATACAGCACATCATCTGTAAACTGGGGCTGGGGGGGGGGGGGGGGGGGGGGGGGGGGAGGAGGTGACACTTAAATGTTTGCAACTTTGTGTTCTGGGGCGGAGCTGTGATCTTAAAGTTCTCCAAAAAACATATTTTGTCATGTTAGTTGTGAATAATTGTTTCTGCTTTCTGTGGTCCTGGATTCAAACTTTTTTTTATTCTGTCACGCTGTGACCCGGAGTGCACTGAGGAGAAGTGGCTCCACTTGTTATAAAAGTCACCCATCTCTATCTGACATTAACAATTCTGATTTCTTTAATAAAAGAAGATTGGATATGCTGCCCCCTTGTGGTCTTTGTATGTTTTCTACAATGGATAGCTAGAGATAGATAGATAGATAGATAGATACTTTATTGATTTCAAGTAAAATTCAAACAATGTAGAGTGGGTTGAGGTGGTGACTGCTTCCTGGTAGTTTTACAGATTAAACTCAGGCGTAGGAAGTAAGGGGGACTGAGGGTGCTGCCCTTAAAGTCAGGCACAATTATAACCATCAGGTTAAAATAATTTTAACTTATGTTAACCACTTTAATGGGATGTGTAGATGTGCACGGATGCCTAAAAAGAAATGAGGCTACCTTGACCCAGACAAAAACTTGTTGACAAGCTTTTTTTCAGTCCGCTCCAAATTCTGATCGAATGCAGAAGCCAAATGTTTCCCAGAAGGCTTTCGTGCTAACGAGCCAACACATGTATTAAAGAGGACATATTATCCCCCTTCTCCACCTTTTCAAACAGTCCCCCTGTGGTCTAAATGAAACATCTGTGCTGTGCTTTGGTCAAAATATAACATGAATCAAGCACCAGAGGAGGTTTGTGACCCTGTATAAACCAGCTCTCTCAGAACGCTCCGTTTTGGTGTGTGTGTCTCTTTAAATGCAATGAGCCCCTCCTGAGTTTTCCCGGTAGACATCACTCCTCTGTAGTGAGAAAAAAAATGGCGGACCTGCGAAAAAGTTTTGCTCTAGGCTGGGAGTGGAGTCCATGGGTGAAGATACCAGGGGAGGGAGGTTTTTTTATTTATTTTTTACCAGAATCCCACTGTGACATCACAAGGAGAGCAAATTTGAAACGGAACATTTTTCTCTGTGTTGTAAGACTTATGCAGACCTCAAACAAAGGACTGGATGGGTTTATTTTCACATTTTGTGGGTCGGTAGACTCTCAGAGAATACGCTTTCACTCTGTGGGGGCCTGACTAAATGTCTCTATAGACTTTTGAGTTTTACTGTATTACTCTTTTAAAACATTTACAACAACTTCAGGAGAGAGAGAGAGAGAGAGAGAGAGAGAGAGAGAGTCTGCATTGACGAGGGAGAGCGAGGGAGCGTGCCAGCACATACTGAAGTAAAGCGACAACGAACAAAACCTTAATTTGATCATCTGTTTTATGGTTTCATGATGTGTCAGGTTATGAAAATGTTCCTAAATGAGGCAGACTTTAAACTGAACAAACAACCTTAGACTACGACTCTATAAAAACCCCACTTTATCTGAAATCATTTTTATCTCTGTTTGTTCTTCTGCTCACAGATTATTTTTAGATATTTTCTGAGAAATAACTTTTTTCCCCCCAAAGCTGTGTGCGTTTCTCCTGTAACATTCACGCAGCAACAAATAAGTATGAAACTATTCAAACAATTTAATCATGACAACCACTTGGACTTTTCTCATAACTGACTAAATGGTACAAGTCCATTTTGCATATGTGACCTTTAAAGACACACACAATTTGAGATTACAAAATAAGAAGAATGAAGAATACATTTAACCTGAAATTATTTCATTTTAATTCATTTTTCCAAAACAAGGGTTTCACTGTAGAACACAACATAATGTTCATTATAGTAACATATACATTTTTTTAAAACATTCTTTAACAACATCACACTGATATTCACAGCCTCCCCCCCTATCCCGAGCCCGGTGCAAAGCGATATCTTTTAATGCCTTTAATAAGAGATAGGACAGTGGATAGAGTCAGAAATCAGGGAGAGAGAGAGATTCTAACCCGGGCCACTTTAAATATTTTAAGAATATTTTACTGATTTTAATCCACCAACATTGCTCAGCTGATAAAAATAGTTCATCATAGCGATGTTCCCGACTGATATGTTGAAAAAGCTGAGTGAGACTTCAGCTGAAGTACTTCAGGTGCACTTCATTTCTCCTGTTTCTGCTGGTTTCTCACAAATATATCTATGAGGGATTTCACAATATTTATCGAACCAGCTCTTGTGTTCTACAGCTCCTCCTTTCTCCCCCATCCTCACACAGTCCTCCCCATCAGCGTTATCTCCGTCCCAGTTGTCCGGCTCGCCGTTGCTCCAGAAAACCAAACTATGAGATAAAGAAAATAAAAAAGTAGTTACAACTGATAACTCTTGGTTAGTTGATGCAGATAAAGAAATCTGATTGGTGGTGACTTTTCACAACATGTATCACTCCGCCTCAGCCAGGAGTTCTGAATACTTTTATTTACATTAGATTATAGGCCTACTTTATTGATCCCCAGTGGGGAAATTCGGGCGTTGCAGCAGCAAGACAGAGAATAATTAACAGCTGACAAAGTTTTTATTTATCATCTCAAACCTCAGAATCACACAACACACTCTTATTTCTCTGGTTATATGATAAAAACATTCATTTCTTTTAACCTGAAAGTAAATAATCATGCCAATAAGTAGCTTCTCTGTGGTTACCATGGACACAAACAGAGGGCAGTAGAATGTTTGGGTTGCTTGGCAACAGTCTAGTTTCAGTTAAATTGTGGAACAAGTTGAGTTGGTGGAGTTACAACAAAATCTGTTGGTGATTTTAATTTTTAACTTCTTCTTTCAGCTTCTATAACCGTTTTATAAAAGTAACATCACACTCGAGGTCGAGATGTTGTCTGGATCTCAACACTGCTGTGATTATCGTGTGCCTACGACCGATTCACATCACTCCCTCTGGTGTGATGTCGCTTAATTAACAGGAAATATGTTATGTGTAATTTGTTTTTTGATAAGTCCAAAGTTCTTCATTCTTCAACATTTTCAATTCAAAAATTTGCAATTAGCATAAAAATCAAGGATGAAAATTAACATTTTAGTGAAACCACTGACCAAAAGTTCATTATTTACTGATTGTCACTGCAGGTGCTACACATAGCCTAAGTAACACCAGTGACAAGAAAAATGCATTTTACAAGATGGCTGCTAAGTGCACCAAACCAAATCTTCTCAAATATTATATAGCCTATGCTACTCATAAAATAATGATATTTAATCCATTTGTAATCTTATTTTGGACAATTCCCAGACCAAAAAGGAGGTCACACCAGTGACGTCATCTAAAAGCTTCATGTGAAATCATGAGAAAATTGAGAAAATTAAAGCGACAGAGGACTTAACCCTGGGCATTTCTTCATAGATCTGAAGGAAAGAGGTACAGGGTGATGTCATCACTTTAATTTAATATCCAAATAAAGGACTTTTTAAAACACAGTGACATGACTCCAAGGGACCAGTAATTTCATTATATATTTTATAATATCTACTTGAAATGTTGTTGTTTTATGTCATTAACATCTACTAGTCATGTAAACATAATTGTACATAATACTGCCCCTGTCCTCTTTACATGACTGTGGGGACAGGTACTGATTTGGTGCTTGGGATCTATAAAACTGGTTAAATAACAAATATTGACAAATGAATAGCTCAGGAAGGGGTAGTTGTACAAATAACTTGTTGTTTTTTGTAGAAGTATAAAAAAAATGGTCACTTCAAGTTTTTTTTCAAGTGAAATATTTTGGTAAAGGGTTGAGACAGAACAATGTACGTTTGACCCTAAAATCAGTCAAACCTTGAGTTCAGTGGAGATCCGTCCGCCCACAACCAAGTGCCCTCTTCCTTTGAGTCGGTCAGTCCGATCCAGAATTTGTCCTCAGCATCCGCCATTACGTCTCTCAGTCTCATGTCCAGGAATGTCTGAGGAATAAAATAAATACAACAAACAAAGATTATGAGAGAGACTCTTTAGAAAGAGAACTGGTCCAGTGAGCTCCATGATCCTGCAGCAGTGTGTTTACCTGCTCCTCTGTGCTGTCTATCTTCACCAGGTCTCCTCCTCCGTGTTGTCTGCATTCATCTTCTCTCTCATTCCATGTTGATTTTTTGGTGGAGAAGAAATAACACTTCTCTCCATGCTGCTCCCAGCCGTCTTTACATTTCCAACATGATCCACCTTTAAAGAGATCAAAGACTTCAGTTAACTGTTCTTGTTCGTTAGATAAGACGCAGCAGGACATGGTTTGAAGTATTTAACGGGTGCAGAACACGATCGACCTCGTGTGTAATCTGTCAGTTTGTGAACTCATCATGAGAGGATGCAAATCTGTGTGAGAGGTTAAAGGTGAAATACACTCACTTCCTGGGCATGTTGGCTGTGGCTGTGGGAAGCACGGTTTAACTTCAACTTTTTTTTCTGTGAAAGAAAAATAGCGAAATTGTAACACTTTAATATCGGTATTTGTCTTTAAAGAGGACATATTATCCCCCTTTTCCACCTTTTCAAACAGTCCCCCTGTGGTCTAAATGAAACATGAATCAAGCACCAGAGGAGGTTTGTGACCCTGTATAAACCAGCTCTTTCAGAACGCTCCGTTTTGGTGTGTGTGTCTCTTTAAATGCAATATGTGGCAAGAATAAAAATGGAGGACCTGAGCAAAAGTTTTGCTTAAGGCTGGGGGTGGAGTCCATGGGTGGAGATATCAGGGAGGGGATTTTTTTTACCAGAATCCCACTGTGATGTCACAAGGAGAGTAAATTTGAAACAGAGCATTTTTCTCTGTGTTGTAAGACTTATGCAGACCACAAACAAAGGACTGGATGGATTTATTTCACATTTTGTGGGTCGGTAGACACTCAGGTTACTCAAATATATATTCAAAAACACTGTAGAAGTGGATTTTTCATAATATATCCCCTTTAAATCCTTTTCAGAACCATCGGCGTCATCAGCAAACAAAAAATTGCAAAATGTTGAAAACTTGACAAATGTTAATAATAAACATTTCATAAAGACGTGATAACTGAAAGTGTAAGTCTGAATAAAACCAGTTTTTACCTGAACCTTTGTTGAGCTTACCCGTGCAGTTTTTTTTCAGAGCCTCGTACTCGGCTTTCTGCCTCACAAGACGTTCTGTGGTTTTCATGTTTTGATAAGCTGATGAAAGAAGGAAAAAGTGTCGTCAAGAGAAAATAAACACTCATTAATAAAAGTATATCATCATGCAATAGAAACGTGGAGCCTTAACAGATGCCCTCTGACCTCACCTGCCCACCTGCTCACCTGTTGAACACTCCTCCAGACATTTCACCTGTCCGTTTTTAAAGATTTGTTTTTGCCTTTTTTTTTTTGATAGGACAGTAGAGTAGGAACTCCGGAGAGAGAGTGGGGAATGACATGCAGGAAAGGAGCCGCAGGTCGGAGTCCAACCTTAGCCGCCAGCTGGGAGGACTAAAGCCTTCGTACATGGGGCGCCACCTAACCGCTAGGCCATCTTTTTGTTCTAGAGGCTTTCTTAGGCTTTTGTCTGACCACCATTGTGTAATAATGGGCCATAATGGACTGTGGGATGATGTGACGCAAAATATAGCAAAGACTAGAATGTGCAGAAGATGGTTTGGTCCATGTGGCATGAGAGAGAGAGAGAGGGAGAGAGAGAAAGAGAGAGAGAGAGAGAGAGAGAGAGAGAGATAGAGAGAGAGAGAGAGAGAGAGAGAGAGAGAGAGAGATAGAGAGAGATAGAGAGAGAGAGAGAGAGAGAGAGAGCCACACTGAGGTTGGGCTTTAATGCCCTGATAGCAACAGGTCCAGGTGCTCTAAATTGGACTAACTAGCTGATTCCTCAGAGAACAAGAGCGACAGAAGCAATTAGTAGACGCCTGTCAGTAAAGGTAAGGTAGTGACCAAATTTGAAGAGGTACTTTTGAAAGAGTATGACGTCAGACCGATAACATGGACAAAATCTTGGAAGAATATTGAGCTGGGTAACAAAGGATCCTGGGAATAATTTTCCCCGTCTGTATTTTTTGTTGCCAATTTCCTGAACATTTACAAGGAGCATACTCTCAAGAAATACATTTTTTTTTTAAACTGCAAATGTGAAACTCGCTACTTTTTCTAATTTCTTTTGATAATTTTGCATTTTAAAGCTCGGAGAAATGAGAGGCTGGTTTAGCTCAGTTGGACGAGCACTTCTCTATATATATATCAGTCCTATGATATAAAGGCTAAAGCTAAAAATATAACCTTTAAAAAAAACAAATACGTTTGTTATATTTAAAAAGAAGCCTGACATTCATCAACTCAAAGCCACTACTTGTTTGGTATTTTTTTTAAAAGCCCAACAACAACCAGAGTTTGTGTTAATTAGTTGTTTTAATAAATGTACAAACTCACTGGTATATCCAAGAGCAGCAGCAGCGATTACCAAAAGTACGGACAGAACCACCACGGCCACTCTCTCCGATGTGACCCCTGGTCGTCCATGTGACGCAGCTTGAGAACCTGTGAAACAACAGAAAGACGGGAGAGGACGATCAGAGGATTAGGAAAGAAAGATAATCGAATGATGCTAAAGTAAATATAGTATCTTAGTAAGTAATAGTAACTGTTTGATTCTATTCATGACCTGTTTTACTATGATACATTTTTATTCATTTAGCAGACGCTTTTCTCCAAAGCGACGTACATCAGAGAGTAAGTGCAACACAAACAAGGATCTAGAAACGAAGAAACATCGTCAGGAAGTGCAAACAAACAGCTTTGAGTCTGATTGGACACATGGGTGCTGACAGGAAGTGAACAGAGGCAAAGCACAACATTGATGGCAGTTCCTGAGAGCTCTAATCAGTGTAGAAACCAACCAAACCGTCGTCATTACCATCACTATCATTAAGGTTGTAGGTGTTCATAAAGAGCTGGGTCTTTAGGTTTTTCTTAAAGGTGCAAAGAGACTCTGCAGATCGAATGGAGTTTGAAAGTTCATTCCACCACCGGGGGGCGACAGAGGAGAAGAGTCTAGTCAGCATCTTAGGACCCTGTTGTGAAGGTTGGATCAGACGCCTTTCATTGTCAGAGCGTAGTGGGCGGGAGGGAGTGTAGACCTGGATTAGAGTTTAGTTAAGGAGGAGCCGTTTTGTCACTGAGCAGCAGACTTTTAAATTTGATGCGAGCAATAACTGGGAGCCAGTGTAAGGAGATGAACAGCGGAGTGACATGTGCTCTTTTAGGAAGGTTGAAGACCAGTCGTGCTGCTACGCTTTGTATCATCTGCAGGGGTTTGATAGTGACTGTAGGAAGACCTGCCAGTAGGGAGTTGAAATAATCAATGCATGAATTTAATCAAATGACTTAAATTTGTTCTTTTTTATATTATGGCTCGAAAATAAAGTAAAATGAACAGGACTTGGTGCCAAAAATGTTCCAGTCGGTTCATTTAATTTAACATAAGACTGTCCACATTTGTACATGAGACTAAGAAGCACAGGAGACATTTTGATAGGAAAACATTAGGGCAGCATTTCTTGACTATCCGGCATTTTTTACTTAATTACATAAAAAAAAAGAAAGCTGTTGTTATTAATGAAAATGTGGGTCAGGGGCGTGTCCGCACTGTTTTGACTGGATGGGCCCAACTGGGGCCCGATTTCTGCAGAGGGGGAACTTAAAGAGTGATGCTTCAGCAGACTGAGGTGCAGATAATTTCAATGGACGATTATTTACTATGCAGACTTTTTTCTCTAACATCAGCACTTTTTTAATGGTTAGAAACGCCGCACAATCACACGCCCAAACAGCCCCAAAGCTGTCATAACCTTTGTTTGTATTTGTGAGGAACTTCTGCAAACACTCTTTCTTACAGCACAGCTCACATTTCACACAGTCACATCTTCACTTGATGAGCTGTTCCTGTTCCTGTCACTGCTGTAACTTCAAGTTTAGTTATATCACATATCAACCAGCAAATCTTCACATCTGTTCGCACACACACACACACACACACACACACACACACACACACACACACACACACACACACACACACACACACTTGTTAGAAACTTATTATTAAACACAGCCTGCGAAGAAAGGGAAGGGTCAGAGCGCAGAAAAAAACGGACTAACAGGGAACTAAAAGCCTTGTCAAAGTGTTTTTTTGTATCGTCTGTTCCTTGTTTTTGCAGCCAGTGGAAAAAGTCTGGACACGCCCCTGAATTATAATTTCAAATTAAAGTTCAACATTTTTTACTCTTTTGCGTTACTCTTTAATTATTCAAATTAAAAAAAAAAAAAAAAAAGAGCAGTGAGACGGAAAAAAAGCAAAGACACTAAAAGGTAGATTAAAAATGAGTCATTAAATTCAAATGTAAAAATAAATTGGGCGCCGGTAGCGTAGTGATTAGTGCGCACACCCTATGTACAGAGGCTGTAAAGTCCTGCAAGTGAGCAGCCCGGGTTCGATATTTGACCAGTGGCTCATTTCCTGCATGTCATTCCTCTTGCTCTCTCTCTCTATCCCCGATTTCTGACTCTATGCACTGACTCTGTCCTGTCTCTAAATAAAAAGGCATAAAAAGCTGAAAAATAAATAAAGTACACCAAAGATATAAATCGACAGATATCAGATCCTAGACTGTAAATGATGATTCCACTTTAATCTGTGGGTTAGGCTGACGACAGGAAACAAATAGAGCTGTATAAAAGTAAACTTTGGGGCACCTGTGGCGCAGTGGTTAGTGCACGCGCCACATGTATGGAGGGTATACCCACCAGGCAGCTCTGAGGACGGCTGTGGACTCTTTACAATCTTCACCTCAGCATATGTGGTTTCCTCCGAGGGAGAAGCTGTCCCTGCAAACCAAAACACAAAAACCAAAAAAGAAGCAGATAAATTAGTGAGAACATATTATGACAATGGATTATCGGAGACCACACATTTCAAATTTCACTCTTTCACACTGTGGTAAGAATATTTCTTGAAAAGATCTGGTATCATTCCTGAAAAATCTAGGAGGGAAATAGATGGTAACGATTCAGAAATAGAAATATTACATTTAAATTCATAAATAAACAGATGTAATGTTCTTCAGCTCTTACCGATGGCTTTATCCGTTGGTTTTTTGAACTTCACATCAGAGTATAACACCTCAGCTTCAGGCATTTCACCGCAGTGAGCATCAAGGAGTTTAAAAGAGAACTGAAGAGAAGTTGTGCAAATAGGTTCATATATCCTTCCTGTATGGACGCGACTGGTGGGGAGGGCTTAATGAGGTGTTTAGTTCTGCAAATCCATCTTTTTTAATAGCCCTTTTTGTATTTAAATGATGTTTCAGTTCCTTTTTGTTCAGTGCAGAACCAACACCTGGTTCTGCCACAATGGAGAGACAGAGAGAGGTTAAAGTTTGAGGCTTTCATAGAGGAAGCTGTGAGTTGTTTTCTTTTTTACTTTTTAAAGATCTGTACTGTGAATAAAGTTGAAGATATTAATAAAACATAAAACTCCATCGGCCTCCTTCCAACTTTGCTGACAATCTTGTCAAACAAAAGGAGAATAAGGAAAAAGGAGTGGAGGTTACGTGATGCCTTCCAAAAACAAACAAAATGGTAAAAGGATAAATCCTTTCCTAATCCATTCATACGCCGCTGACGAAGAAGCGGGAGCAATTCAGGGTAAAGTGTCTGAGTGACATCGGACATGTTGCTGCAGGAGCTGGGGATCAAACATTTCTGATTTTAGTAAAGAACATCCAGGACTGCATCATTCAATTATTCAGAAACAAAAGGGTTTAACATGTCTGTGACATTGAGGAAGAGAGAGAAACAGGGAGGGTGGGTCAGCTGTCTTTCTTCTTACCTCCAAACCAATCAGACACTGGGGGGAGGAGGGAGACAGGATGGAAGGGAGAGGAGGGTGAGCGTTTGTCTGAGGGGAGGGTCCGGGGCGCCGTTCAGGGTGCTACAGCCTCCACATCCAAAAACAACCTCACTGTGTTTGTTTGGATTGAACCCTCGACCTTCCGGTTGAGAGATGACGACTCTACCAACTGCGCTACAGCCGCCAGATTTTTTTACTTCAACATACAGCTGCCATTATCCCTGTTCTTCTCACCTATTACCCCTTTAAACATCTCATTCACTAGGCTGGGTTCACACATGACAATTAAAAAAATTAGGGAGTAAAAAGTATTTTTTTAACATCATAATACTCAGAACACACACACACTAGACCAGTGGTTCTCAACTGATCTGGTCTCAGGACCCACCACCACCACCTCTTTAACAAGAAATTAAGTGACCCAAGATTCCAAAAATGTTTAACCACTCAGAGTTATTCAATGACAATTTTTATAGTTTGGACCGCAGATGGATCAAAATGTGAAATAAACAAGGAGACGAACATGGTTTAATTGTGCATCATAGACTTTTTGCAACAACAAAAGAATTTCCAGGCATTGTCCAGTTGAGAACCACTGCACTACCATTGAGCCAGACTGGGAGACCACACACCTGCTGTTTGTAAGAAAAGAAAAATGTTGATTGCCTAACTTTAGGTAAAAGAATATTATGAAAAAAAGGTTTAAGTACAAATGTTCTCTTGCTATGCCTTTCTATAAGACTATTTTGTGTCTATAACTATGACCGTCATGATTACAAACATAGTTCATTGTGAAGGCTGGAAGTCTAAACTGAAAGTCTGAGGCGCACTGATGCAATTTTAGAAATCCTGTAAAAACAGGGATGTGTCTGAACGTTGTTTTGTAATCAGGACAGTCATTCATTCACAGTATTTATAAGCTATTTGACTTCTGTTCCTTGTTCTTAAAGATCACCTGATTCCTCCACATTGTTTGACCCACTTCAATCCTTTTTTCTTTCTATTGTTAATGTCTCTATTTATTTTGTAATACTTCCAACATCCAGAATCTATGGAAGGCCTGAGTGCACGTGTGACCACACATTTACATTTACTCTGTTTTGCCGTTGTAATGACTCTCTGCTTGTTTTCTTGAGGTCTTGACTACTTCGGTTTCGCAGCTCCAGAGTTGCAAAACAACAAAACAAACATGGAAGTAGAAGAGTAGACAGCGTCAGCATGGCATGTTGTGATCTAGCCTATCACACTGAATATTGCTTTGAGTTTTTTTTAGATCATTTAGAGCACTGGTAAAAAATAAATGCATCAGCTTATCACAAGAATACACTTTGTGATCTGAAGATAATTAAATAAATAAATAAATTGTAATGAGAACACCAGCTCTGTTACCGAGATAACAAGGATAAAACGTTGAACAGCCTGCATGACTCTTTATAACAGAAAATGGGGTAAAAGATGTCACTATAGACTTTGGAGACATGACCAGTTATGGCTTTAATAAGAATGAACTGTCATAGTGAAACAAGATAACGCTGAGCTCCCTCCCCACTATCTCATGACCTTCATCAGAGGTTGTAGTTTTCCACAGAAGATTAACCTTAAGCGAGCCCTAAACCAATTTGAATGATCATAAACCTTTATGATCACACATAAACTTCTACGATCAACAATATTTTTTTATGGTTTTATGACTATATTGGTGCTTTTCCCCCAAAGATATCACCAAAAACAATATTAAACAAGTTAATTAATAACATTTAAAAAATATTAATGATTAATTAATGATTGATAAATAATAAAATTATTACAATTATTAAAGGTAGATATGGTAAAAAAAAAAAATGATTTGGAGAATTTCAGTTCGTGAATGAAAAGCTTTTGGGCTAAAACCCTTTTCGGATGTTACACAATGAGGCGTTATAGATTATTATCCAATCACCGCACAGAATGATTGACAGAACAGTTGACGGCCAATCAAACGCGAGATAACCAAGTAGTGGGCGGGGTTTAATCCTCATTGCTTAAAAAAAAACAGAAAAAAAAAGAGGCGGCGGAATTTCCTTTCCGGGCCAACTCGCCTGAAGTGTCACCAGGACGACACCGACAGACTTTATCAAAGTTTCTGCCCTGCCGGTGTCCCGTTCCAGACATGGCTCCTAGCACGCAGCTGAAGGAGGCTATAGCCGATGTGCAGGACGGTATCCGCGCCATCCTGCTCGGACCCCCCGGAGCCGGGAAGGGCACTCAGGTGAGCGAGAGAGTCCCCGGCCAAGCTAATGAAGCTACCTGTTAGCTGCTAGCTGTTAGCTGCTAGCCTTAACAGCAGCTTTAAAGCGCATGGTCGGTACTGATGCTAGGCTAACTCAGCTAGCGTCCACTCCCAGGAAAACACAACACATGTCTGTTCAGATGAGATTATATTAGATAATTGTCGGTTTGTTTGTGAAGTTTACTGCATTGTAAATTACATTTCTAGTAATTCGTATGCAGCATTTGCGCATTTAATCACATTTATTCACGAAGTTACAACATAAAAACACTGAGAAATAGATTTTTTCATCTATTTATTTTATTATAAGCAGCAGCACAGTTGTTGTTATTGTCAATTTTAAAGCTGATTTAATACGTCTGTGTAAGTTTAAATAAAAATGTGCGATTTCTTAAAGTCTGAATTAATAATAAAAATAATCAGGACATATTTGTTTCTCCTAACTAACGATTCAATTATCAACTGTCATGTTTTCAAAAAACTTTATCTCACTTAAACCAAATCTGTTTATAAAGTGCATTTAGAAATAAACAAAAAAAAAAGTAGACCAGCTGTGCAAACAAACAAATATAAAACACAAAGACCCTTTAAAATAAAAAATAACATGAAATCAAAAGTAAAAGTGGTAAGACCAGCTGAAAAGGTTTAAACATCTCTCAAGAAGTGTGTTGTGTGTTTTCCTGATTCTACTTCTACTGGGTGCTTGAGTTCTGTTTTTTACAATTAGGATAATATACATTTCATTAATTGAAGAGGGAAATTGTTCCTGCGTCTGACACTAGGATACACTCAGCAATGTAAGACAATTGGGATGCACAGCTTCAGTACTTTCATATTCAACAGTTAATGGGTTTATTATATAATAATGTAAAAAATGTCACAAGAGTTAGAGTCATGTAATCCCTTTCTATATTTATCATAGTGTAGTTATTCTATGCTGGTGCTGCATCATGCAGTCCGTGCATGGAAAACTAGGTGAAAAGTCTGAGACCAGAATACCAACAGTGACTTTGATTTATCATTGCAGCATTGTCCCAAAGTTCAAGTGGATTTTAAGAGGGAACTTTTTCTGGAAGAACCAGTGCATCTGGTGGAGCAGCTAGTCTTGTATGAGCTGAAGGGGGTTCACCGTTCCTTATTTAAATACTGGTTAGCATGTTGTGTATTTTTCTGAATTTTAACACCAGTATCAAATGGAATTGTTTTTTCTTTTGCACTGTTCTTAAACCTATAAACTATCATCCAAGGACAGTTTCCGTGTAGTAAAGAGGAGTGTAGACAGAGGTCAAGTCCTTCTGAAGAGCTCATCATTTCTCTTTTGCTTTTAAAAACCCAGTTGAACAACAATTCAGATGATTACACCCACTCGGCCATATTCATGTAGAGCAAGAAAGAACATGCATTCATGGTGCAGAGTGGAAATGCAAGAGTCACCACTCCCCTTGTTACATCTCATTTAACCTTCAAAATCATTATGAAGCTGCTGTTTTAATGCAAAATATACATCATGTTGCTTTAGTGTAAGGGTTCTTAAATCACTAACCTACCTGTAACTTATTACTCTAAAAATATCTTTTACTCATCTCCTTCTTGTTGTCGCCCTTAAGCATCAGACACGTTGCACATGTACTGTCTGAACCCTTATCAGCAACCAGGAACATCTGTCACTTTAAAGGACTTTAAATAATACACTGCAGCACCAGCTTTTGACTGGATAAGTGCCTTTTATACATTTATATCCACTTCAAGTTGATGCACATTTGTTGTTTTTGCTTTAGTTTTGAATGCACACCTTTTTGCACATTATCTTATTACTTTATTTGTACATTTTTCTGTATGTCCAGTATGTATGGCAACACTGACAGTAAAGATGACTTTAGATGAAAACACTCACCTTGATTGACTACATTAAAGGGTACATAAGCTGATGTCATAAGTCTGTTTCACAGAAGAGGACCTGATTGGCCCGCAGGACTATTCTTTTTTTTTTCTTTGGTGAATAACTGTAGGCAAATAATATTCTCCTCTGCTGAAAACTCTTCGGTCTCACAGGCGGCTTTTCTGCAGGCCAGCAGTGCAGGTGGTTGACTCTCTGACTGAGC